AAGAGAGAATATTCGGAGAAGCAATGCCCTTTCCCTTCTGCCTAGCTTCTTTGCACCATAACCCCGTAAAACACCAAGCTTAAGTGCTTTTTGCCCTTCTTCTAGACTTCTTTTTCTCACAGCCATCAGTAAATCTGTTCCTTGGGAACTAATGTTCTCTTCTTTCCCACTTTCACATTTTTCTTTGTCCACTACAATTGAACTTGCACCATCACCTGCCAATTTTTCCGACTGATGTTTCTTGTCTTCATCAATCTCAGCTCCTTCTCCATGGATGCTCTCATAACCATAAGGGCTATTGCTTCCCCACCATTTATTGGATGCAGTGGATAAGCCATCATCAGCTCCTTCTCCATGGATGCTCTCGTAACCATCAGGGCTATTGCTTTCCCACCACTTATTGGAATATTCTGGGGACATCCAGTCTGAACATTTTTGCTTCCTTGCTGTTGCGCAAGAGGAGAAATTGTGATGCCTTGTGATTTCGCCATTTCACTATCAGGGTGTTGAGATCACTGCATTCCAAAATTTAAAAGGAGTAAGATGAATGAGAAGGACGAAGAAACAAACACTCTTTTTGAGTAACCAAGAAAAGAAATTAAAGCCCTTTTTGAATTGAAAAAAAGAAAAAGAAAATAGCTCTTTTGTACAAAACTTAGGCAATAAGCAACCCGAAAATCCTACTGTCAGGCAAAATGTGGTATGTTATTACAGCTATGAAGTTAACTGCAAGAAGAAGCATCCATCAAGGATAAGTTACAGATGGGAATAACTCAAAAGAACAATGAAAGAAGAAAGATTTTTTTCCAGGGAACATCAAAGATGAGTCACAGAATTTGACAGGTAAATGACTAAGAGGAAAGCACCACTAGGGATCCATACACTAGACTCTGCTTAATACATATTCAATCCCTTATTAACATCTAAAGCTGAAGCCTTTCTGATGATTCATTAATGCTCTAAACGCGGGATTTTGAAGCATATCCAAAAATTTCCTTCTTTTAATCCTCAAGCATAATATATCAAGCCCAAATAAAATAAGCTCTTCCGTATAAATGCAAAAGTCTCTACACAAGTAGTGTATTTGACCAAATAGGAGAAATAGCAACCAAAAATCTGGCTGAAACTCGGCCAAGATCTGAACTTTGTGCCCCAATCTTTGGCATACAAACCTTGTTTCTCGTATCTTCAGAAAACCTTTCAATCTCTTGTGCTGCAGAGGGAACTAGTCCTACAATCACCACACAAATGGTCAATGCACAGGGAACTAGTCCTGCAATCACCACACAAATGAGCACTCTACTACTATATTAGATAAGTATTCAAAAGCAGAGTCTGTCTAAGTAAATCACCTATGAAATAAACCTTTGATAAATATCAAGAGCTGTATGTATGCACATACATACACATAAACAAAGGAGGAATCTTTACAAAGAAAACTGATCCTTTTTTTAGTAAAGAAGACCACTCCAAGATTTAAAATATACTTTAATATATCTTATTTAGCTCCAGCACTATAAATCCATATGCAATTGCTCATCTACGTGAGAGCAGGACCAATAGAACAACAACCCAGAAACAGACAATTGAAAGAATCCCAAAAGAAACACACATATTGAAAAGCTCACAAAATGATTTCAATAAAAATAGAAACGCAAAGGTCCAAATGTAATCAGAACAGAAAGGTTATAAATAAATACCTGGATGCCCCGTTTCAACGATCCGAGACAAGAATCTGATAGCCCACTGCGGCAAGAATGGACATTTTGGAACTGATTCAGATCGAGCTTCTTGTTAATGATTCCCACAATGAAGTAAATGCTATCAGAAGGCAGCAAATCGACTCTGATTTGTCCATTGTGTCCATTATTTCTTCTCATGAAAGAAAATATAAAGGATTAAAACTTAAAGGACATGTATTCAAGGCTTTGGCTAAGCTTTTATTTTTCTGGGTTGGACTTGTAAGACCAGATAACCCTAGATAGGGGATAAAGATTGAGTTTTTTTGTTGAGAAATTGACACAGGGATGGGTTTCGCGATAGTGGGAGAAACAGAGTGGTGGTGGTCATGGAGCGACGGTGGAGAGATAAAATGCTGAGAGAGGAAGAGAGAACGCAGAGAGCGAGGTCAGAAGTTTTCGGTCAGCAATCAATGGCCAATAGCTCCATAATAAATATGCTTTTATATGGAGGGCACTTTGGTCATTTCACGTCCCCAAGTGATTATATCAGAACACAATTTGTAGCCTGATCATTTCATCACACTATTTCTGAAACTTGATTACACCAGCTTATTTCCCAATAAAGTTTAGGTAGGGGTGTTTGTGTGGGTCCTTGCGTTTGGGGACGATGAGGAGCCCCGTCACTTAGCTGTCGTCTAGCACTTTTTACTATTTTTCAATTTCATCAATAATAATGTGGATATAAAAACAACGCATTTGACTTTTCATAAGACGTGGCTATGATGCAAATCATTACTTGCAATTTCTTTTGAAGATTTTCAATATAAGACATAGTTTAACTAGAGGGAGGAATTTTTTTTTTATATTTAAAAATAAAAAAGAAAAAAAAGAGAAGGGGAGTTTTCAATACACATTATTAAAGTGTCATAAGAGTTCGGATTTGAAAACACTAATTTGTAAATCAAAATCATTTTCTACTAACCTAGAACTTGTTCACATTTGTTACCTCTTTTCTGGTTGGGGAATGCTAGCAACCTTCTCTTCAACCTTCTCTTTTGGACATTCTCCATTTTCTTCATGACATGTGTCCATTTCCTTACACTTAAAATAATGTAATTAATGCATCAAACAAGCCATCATTAGTTTTCCAATTTTACCCTTATTAAATATATTGATTTTACTATTTTCTTTAATTTATCCAAATTTTTTTTTTACAAACTTCTTACCACCTTGTTAAAAATTAATTAAGAAAAAACGTTACTTTTATTTTTTGTTGCCTGAAAGATTCCAAAGGAAGTAAGGAGAGACATTGGTTTAATCTAAAATTTGGTATGCCAGAATTTTAGGAATTTTTTTTTTTTCAAATAATCAGACTCCAAAGGCAACAAGGGATATAAATAAATATAAATAAAACTATGAACTTCCTATGGAATCTGATTATTTGTATATATATATATATATATATATATTTAGTTGTCACTGAAAATTCTCTTTAACTTTATTTAGTAGTATAAAAAAATGCAATTAATGAACTTCCTTTTGAAGGAAGTCTTTTTTTTGTATAAAAATGTGATCTTTCTATTGAGTGTATTTTTAGGTCATTCTTTTGTGTTTAAAAAAATAGAAGTTTTATTTCTGAAAAAGATATACATTTTTTTTTTTTTAAACTGACATTTTTTATTATTTAATTGTTTACATATGGTAAGAGAGTTGTACAATTATTTTTGAACAAATTGAATAACAAAACATTTAATAAGGGTAAACTTGGAAAACAAATGTTAACTTGTTTGATGCATTAGTTACATCGATTTAAGTGAAAAAAAGTGACACATGTCATGAGGAAAAGGGAGAAGACCCAAAGGAGAAGGTTAGAGAGAAGGTTGCTAGCATTTCCCTTTCTGGTTAGGCTGATTTTCTTGTTGTCAATAAACTAACTGTTTTCAGATTCCAATAAACAAAAAGCCAAAGCTCCTTAGTGCATACCAGGCTGGCTGGCAGAGAGAAAAAGTAAGATCAATTATTTCGAAGAAATAGTGGGCCATTTATTCCCAAGAAAAGTAAGATCAATTATTTCCTTCCTTTATAACAGATTGGTGGTGATCTCAGTCTTGCTAAACTTGAAAGCTGAAAATATGGCCGCTGAGTTTGTGCTTACTTTTGCTGCCGAGAGAATACTGACCAAAGTAGCTGCACTTGCCACTGAACAACTTAGTCTTGCTTGGGGATTCAAAGGAGAACTGGCCTGGCTCGGAGATTCATTATCCCTCATGCAAAACATCTTACGTGATGCTGCTGAGCAACCAACAGATCAGGGCCACGCCGTCAAAGCTTGGGTGAAGAAACTTAAAGACATAGCACAAGATGCTGATGATGTGCTGGATGAATTCCAGTATGAAGTTCTTCGACGTAAACTGGAGCTGCAAAACCACATGAAGAAAAAGGTACTCAACTTCTTTTCAGTCTCCAATCCCATTGCTTTTCGCCTTAAAATGGCACGGAAAATTAAGAACATCAACCAACTTTTGGCGAATCTCAAGAGTGACGCATCTTTGATTGGGCTGGTTGCAAAACAAAAAGATGCAACCCCCCCAGCTATGGTGAACAGAGAAACTGTCTCAAGCTTTGATACAAATGAGAAGTTTTTTGGAAGGGAGAAGTTGTTGTCCTATATAGTCAAGACCTTGACCAACTCCAACAATCAGGAAAATCGAAAAACAACCTTGGCTAAAAAAGTATACAACGAGTTGGCTATAGATAAATCATTTGACGAAAGAATATGGGTGTGTGTATCTGACCCTTTTGACGTCAATTCGATTTTAAGAAGGATCTTAGAAGTACTTAACCCCACAATTGCCAGGATAGAAAGTCAAGAAGCATTGCTTAAAAACCTTCAAGAAGCCTTGGCTGGAAAGAGATATATTCTTGTACTCGATGATGTTTGGAACGAAGATCGTACAAAATGGAGCAATTTGATGAATTGTTTGTCAAAACTTGGTTCCCAAAGAAGCACTGTGATTGTCACCACCCGCAGTGCAAACGTTGCATCAATTACGGAAACAAATCCTAATCTTAGGTGTAATTTGGATACTCTAGAAGAAGATGAATGTTGGTCCATAATGAAGAATAGAGCGTTTCCTAATGAAAACGCTCTCATAAGTGCAGATCTGGAGACAATAGGAAAGCAAATTGCAAAAAAGTGCGCAGGTGTACCACTAGTGGCAAAGGTATGTACTATTTTGAATCTCATTATAATTGATTTTTAAACTAAGAACTACTTTCACCACATCATTATAATTGATTTTGAATCTCATCATAATTGATTTTTGCATGTAATTCGTCCTCTCTGTTTAGTTTGGTAAATATTAGTTTGACAAAACCTTTTACATTTTCACTTTGCTTATAGGGAGCCTGACTTTCAAGCCCACCCATATAGAAATTCTATTAAAAATCCCAAAGTTTGTTTACAAAAACAAAACATCACTCAAAAAATATATAAATTACAACATTGACACCCACTGAAGCCCAGCCCAAGTTTTATTATAAAAACCCAAACTAAATTACCACTTTGCCACCACTTCTTCAAAACAAAAACCCACTTTGAAGCCTATCCTAAGTTTTATTAAAAATCCAAAACACTCGAAATAAGTCCAGCCCACCTTTTTTTAAAAAAATAAACCCAAACAAACCAAAAGAAATTAATAATGGGAAAAGTAGACCAATCACGCAACCGAAGAATTTTATTTGCACAAGAAAAGAAAAAAAAAAGAGCAAAAGCAATTAAAAAAGTAAAAAAAAAAATAAATAGAAAGCACATGCACAAGAAAATAAAAAAAAAAGAGAGAAAAAAAGCTGTGTCTCAAAACCCACCCAACTTTTTTATTGGCCAAGTCCCTTGCATCGTCCCCTAGCCTCACCATGCCAATGGGGAACCAAGGCTCTGCCAATCTTTCCCCTACGCTGATCAACATGGAAAAATACATCCAAAATTTTATCAACCATAATCTTCAATGACTAGTTCACCCTTCATATTTGAAGGATGTACATATTTTTCGCTTACTCCTCACAGACCAAAGTTATGATACCATTCGTTAGCGAAAGCAATCGTAAGAAACCCTTAAAAGAGCAAGCATACATATTCATGAGACGAGATGATTTATATAGTTCATCTTATATTTGGCTATGTCCATGGGAGGTATTGATGAATACGCTAATAGAGAAGAAAATTATAATTAAAAAGGAAATCAACTCTTCCAAAATGCAAATAATCTCTCCCCTTTGTAATTTTCTCATAAAACTCTCGTTAATTTCTTGTTATTTATTTACGTAAGGGCAAATCTCTAATCTCTAATATATTAAAATGAGAGTATCCAAATCACTTTGATCACACATGACAAACTCTCACATCACACAAAACCTTTTGTTTTGTTTTTTGTTTCATTAGGATAAATTTTGATCCTTGTGAATCAATGAAGCAATATGTCTTTAAGCTTTGTTGAGTATGGCATTTCTATGAAGTTTGTCAGTGCAATATTTGTATTATTATAATTATGGGCGAATTTCACTTGGACCCCCGCAGGTTTAGCATTATTACGGTCAGACCCCCAGGTTCTATTTATTCCACTTACACCCCCCTTTTTAACATATGTTAACTCATACACCCACCCAAATCTAAGATTAAAATTATCGGAAAAAAAATAAAATAAAGCCAAGTCATCCCAAAGCCACCAACCCACCAACCCATTAGCCAGAGCCACCAACACCTCTCTCTTCCATGGGCCACCGATGCACACACACACCCTCATCAACAACTCGACTAAGCAATTTAGCCCTAATGCTAGCTACCAATAATCCTCAAAGTAGAGAGAGAGAGAATGGAGGATGGGAGGGGACGGAAAAAGGGTTTGGTGTTTCCCTTCTTTTCTTGTTTTCCTTAAATTTAATTAAATTTAATTAGTTTAGTTTTAGGTTTTTGTTAAAAACAATTAACATAAGGGGTGTGACTATAATAAATCAAACACGTGGGCTCTCACTATAATTATGCCAAAACTCAAGGGGTCTAAATGAAATGCTCCATATAATTATAGTCAAATTTCGATTAAACTACCTAATTGTTTACTGCTTCTTTTTTTGTCATTAGTAAAATTGAATGTACACATATCCTAACTCATGTATACCATCAGGTTTTGGGAGGCATGCTGCGTTCTAAAAACAGTATAGATGAATGGCGGTCAATTCAAGAAAGTGAAATATGGGAATTACCAGAAAGTGATGATAGAATCATGTCAGTTTTGAGGTTGAGTTTTGATAATTTGAAATCAGCACCTTTAAAACATTGTTTTGCATATTGCTCAATATTTATGAAAGATTTCGAAATTGAAAAGGAGAGGTTGGTCCAACTCTGGATGGCTGAAGGATTGCTCCACTCTTCAAGTAATCAAGAGATGGAAGATATAGGGAATGAATATTTTAATATTCTATTGCAAAACTCCTTTTTTCAAGATGTTACAATGGATAAAGATGGAGTTGTTATCACATGCAAGATGCACGATCTTGTGCATGATCTTGCAGAACTAGTGTCAAAATCTGTTGGGAAATTGCAGTCCCTATTTTCAAATGGAGAAGATCTTAGAAATAGCTTGTCAAGTTTTAGTTCTTTACGAGTGTTGAATTTATACGATGCTGCAATTGAGGAGTTGTCAAGTTCAATTGGCAGGTTGAAACACTTGAGGTATTTGGATGTTTCTAGAACACAAATCAAAGAACTTCCAAAATCTATTGGCAAGCTTTACAATCTGCAGACGTTAAGAATGTATACACGGCATACACGGAAACTGGAAAGGTTTCCAAAGGAAATGGAAAATTTGATCAAGTTGAGGCATGTTTATTTCGACCATGATCAGAAAGTTCCATTTGGGATGAGACGATTGACTCGTCTGCAAACATTACGTTACTTTAATTTGGATAAGGAAAAGAATCATGGAATTGATGAGCTGGGTGGCTTAAACCAATTAAAAGGTGAACTAACTATCTCATCTTTGGAACATGTGAAAGACAAAGACGAAGCGAAGAAATCAAATTTAGCAGGGAAAGCAAATATACGAAAGTTGACACTAAAGTGGGGGAATTCCTGGCAGAGAAACAATAAGGAGAGTGATGTTGATGTACTAGAAGGCCTCCAACCGAACCCTAAGCTAGAAATCTTAAAGATTGAAAACTTCATGGGTGGTAAATTAGCATCATGGATGATGAGTCTACTCAATTTGAAAGAGATCTGGTTATCCGACTGCAGGGAATGTGAAGAAGTCCCTCCACTCGGCAATTTGAAAAATCTTAGTCATGTTAAATTTGAACATATGAATAAGCTTAAATGTGTGGAAGTTGAGTTTTATGGTGCGGCTTTGTTTCCATCATTGAAAACGTTAGTTTTTTATAATTGCCCAGCTCTAATTGAATGGAAGGAAGTGGATGTGATTACGCCAGCAGCGGTGTTTCCCTGCCTTGAGGAGTTGACTCTTTGGAATTGCTGGCACTTGAGAAATGCTCCAAGTCGTTTTCCATCTCTCCAGAAGTTGATCATATATAATACTGACCAGGTCATGGCAATGGAAAATATATGCAGTCAACTAATCACTCTCACTCACCTCGAAATTCATAAAGCCTTAGAGCTTACTCGTCTGCCAGTAGGGATGCTGGAAAACAACCACAATCTTCGGGTGCTGCATATTGACCATTGCCATAAGCTTAGCCATTTACCTGATGAGCTACACACACTCCATCTTCTTGAGGGGTTAACACTAGAGAATTGTCCTAGTCTAGAGTTCATTCCAATTGCCACCCAGAGCCAGGACATGCCATGTCTCCGCAAATTGAAGATTGAAAATTGTGAGAAATTATCAAGCTGCTCGAGTGGGTTGGAATATTGCACCTCTCTTCAGGAATTGCATATTGAAAATTGTCAAAATTTGAGGCATTTACCGGTTGATGGGCTACAGACCCTTGTCTCTCTTGAGGAGTTGACTCTAAAGAATTGTCCTAGTCTAGAGTTCATTCCAATTACCACCCAGAGCCAGGGCATGCCATGTCTCCGCATAGTGAATATTCTGAATTGTGAGAAATTATCAAGCTGGCCGAGTGGGTTGGAATATTGCACCTCTCTTCAGGATTTGCATATTGAAAATTGTCAAAATTTGAGGCATTTACCGGTTGATGGGCTACAGAACCCCGTCTCTCTTGAGGAGCTCTACATAAGGAATTGCACTAATCTAGAAGCTATTCCCAGTTTAGACAACCTCACATCCCTCCATACGTTGTCTATTTGGGGTTGTGATGGACTCACAAGTCTACCGAGGGGGCTACAATCCTGCACATCTCTTACAATCCTGACAATCGGGGAATGCCATAATTTGATCTCTCTGGCAGATGTCGATGATATATCCAGATTGCAGTCTCTTTACAATTTACAAATATTTGATTGTCGGAAATTAAAATATTTGCCAACGGGGCTACGCTCTCTGACGAGTTTGGAAAATATGACAATCGGTAAGTTTTGGGAAGAGCTCGATTCTTTCCCTGATTTTGAGCTTCCATCACAAATCCGATGGTTAAAGATCTCAGGGTGGCCTAAGCTCAAGTCTCTGCCTCAACAAATTCAACACTTGACTACTTGTTTAGAAAATTTGAAAATAGTGTCTTTCGACAGCATGGAGGCTCTTCCAGAGTGGTTGGGTAACCTTACATCTCTTATCTGCCTGGATATCAGGGATTGTAAGAATCTGATGCGTATGCAACGCCTCACCAAATTAGAAACGCTATCGATTAGTGGATGTCCCAGTCTAGCGGAAAGATGTGCCAAGGAGAGCGGCCCAGAATGGCACATGATTTCTCACATCCCAGATATAAGAGGTAATTAATACTCTGATCAAATCAAATCATTAATTAATTGTTTTTTCAATTCCCTTCTCTTACTTTTCTTTCTACAGTTGACGGAGTTTGGCTGTAAAGAATCGGAATCTTCAAGTGATAATTCGACTCACTCAAAGCCTCACCAAACTAGCATGTTTACTCATGGCATCAATTGGTCTAATTTGCCAACTTCCATAAGGATTTTACCATCCAGGTACTTCTGTTTCCCATTCGCTGAAAATCATTTTCGTATTGAATTATCCGAATATATATTGCATAGGGGTTTAGCTTATTTGTTTCACTAATGGAATCTAATATTATTTCAATTTGCCACAGTTTGTTGGTTTTCAGAAGGATCTTACTCAATTGGAAGAACAAGTGATGCGCCAAAGGTGCAAACTTAGTGCAGGTACTTCAGTTCAGTTCCTATTCCCCTGCATCACTATTTATTCATTGCTTTGGAGATAAACGCTGGAAGAAAAAAAAAGTATTTGATGAGAATTACGCTAATCATTTTCTTAGAAATCATAACATTACTTTACTAGCATGGAGAATACAATTATTCTTAGAAATCATTTTCCTATTTATATATACATCTCCCTAATTTAATTTCATTACACTTTCTATCAATGAAGTACCTGCTCTGTATAAATATTTGTTCGACTGCATTTAGAGTCATGCGTAGCGACTAACTGGAAAAGTTTCCACCGACAATTAGATATGTTATCAGTGATATCAAACCTTAACACTTGTATACCTTCAATAAGAATTCTTTTTGCTCAAGCTTTATTATTATTCCTTTTTATAAAAAAAAATAAGAATTTGGTTGTAAATTGTTTGCTTCATCTATTAATCTGCAACATTTGTTATATGCTTCCATCTTACCACTGGATGCATTTGGCACCTCTCTTTCCTCACTTTTTAACCATTGTGTGAAGAATCCGAGTTATTTATGAGATAACCTACACACAGTAATGTCTCTTCAGAATTTGATGATACTCTTTTGCAGATTTGGGGCTGGCAACCATTTGAAGTGTAAACAGTCCTTAGAAGTTGTTTATAAAAATTTGATGAACTGGAGGGTTTACTGGAGTGATGAGGGAACCTTGAAGCTTTCAGTGAACTATCTATTTGTATATGTGAGAATCTGAAGAATCTACCAGCAGTGGAAGCTCTGAAAATTTCCCCAAAATGAAAGATGCACCGAGGAGAGCCAGAATCATGTGTACGTTTCTTTCTCAAATCGGAATTTATGATTTTTTTTCTTGTCCTCTCTCACTTTCATCTGTCGTTAATTAACTTATTGGCCATTAAGTTTGTTGTCTACTGCAACACAAAGAAGAAGAAGTTGAGGGAAAAAAAAAAAAATTAGTTTACTATAAATTGAAGGAACATATTCAACTCATCAATAGTTTGTTTGGTTTTAATTGCTTCATTGAAGGAACTATAAATACAACATTGTGTTTTCACAATCTTTGTGGAATAACACTTGAGATTGTTGAGGAAAATTAGGTTTGTTAGTCTGGAAGACAAACTAATACATAGAGAACAGGCTAGACCAGTTCAACTCTTGCATGATTTTGTTCCAATTTTTCGGATCTGTAAACAGAAGCTTTTAGTCCTTAGTTTCACAAAATGGCCTTGTTTTTGTTGCTGGTGTTTATGTGGTCATGGTGTCATTGCAACATCTGTAATCCTCTGTTTCGTATTTTAATTTTTCTTTCTTTTCCAGGCAAGGAGATACATGGCATAATACAGCCAATGGTGTTTTCCATAATGCAGGTTTCAGCTATATATATGGCATATCAGCTGTTGATAGTGATTAACTTTTTTACCTTGAGTACACTAAAATAATAATCATGATGCATGTAGTTAAGCAAATCACTATTTCTGGAAGGTGTTGATTTATTTTCCTTTTTCCCGTTTTCCTGTTTCTACAGTTAAGGTCCTCTGTTATTTGATAGCATGTCATTTTTTCTTATGCTGTTGCAAGAATCAGGTAAAGGAGTGTTTACCATCCTTTTAAAGGTTGCAGGTAATTTTGAACATTTCTTGCTAAGTTTATCTTGGTGTTATATTGACCAGGCAGAGTTGAGACTGAAGAAGAAACTCATGCATGCGATGTGCCTGTGATCTAGAACTTATTGTTTTGGACAATATGGTAAGCTACTATTCTTGCAGCATCTATGCTTTCCTGTTTCAGGTTTTAATAATCCTCTCCTTTCCAAGCAAGGACGATAGTGCAAACAGTACTAATCCTTTGGCTTGGGTGACTCAACAAATGTGAAAGAGAATCAAGTGGAATGTTGCTCTTCTTCACTCTCCCTGCGGGTGTCTGTCTTCATAATGCTAAAAAGTAAGGGACAACAGCTTCATTTTTAGTATGACATTGTATCAGGCATCCACACAAGTCTATTTTGGTGGAAGGTTGTTCTGCGCAGTTCTTGCTAACTTGTTCTAGGTTTAATATTTGACCAGGCAGAGTCAGCATTCAAGAAGAAATTCATGAATGCGCTATGAGTGCCACTGCCATGCATGTTTTTGTCTCATGAAATTTTAATTTGCACAAATTGGTAAGCTCTAATCCCTTTCATTACACCGAATGTTTTATTGTCATCACTATACTGTAGTTGTATTCTTATGAGTTTTGCATCACAGGGAAACTTCTTATGGTGCAGCATAATCGGAAAACACTATACTTGGAGGGCGTTTATCATGAAGAAAGCTCTTCCTAATGAAGTCCTAAGGCCTGTCTCATGCAAATAAGATATTTTGAGTCTTTAAAGCACGAATGATAGCAGAAGTTTGTGAGTTTAGAATGTATTTGGGGTTCTTTGTTGAGAAATGGGATGAGAGATAATTTTAGAGTGATTTTAAGAACTTTCCTTGTCATTGTAACGATCTTCTAAACTTTTGATTTAGTGGATTATGACGCAATCGGCCGTGGCCGTAGACCAATTATGGTGGACCACGTTCATTTTTGAGTTTATATCTGCTTTCGTTTCTCTCTTACTTTTCCTGCATTTGGTTCGCAACAATGGACTAGAGAGCCAAAGGCCACAAATTCTGTAATCCCATTTGCCGTCCTATTGACCACTTCGAGAATGATCGATCTTAAAAAGATCATTACGTGGAGCAAGAGTCTAAGGGAGCTCATTTGACTAGAACAAAGTCTGGGAAAAGAAATGGTTCTAATATTTGTGAATCTTCCTTTGATTGTGTTAGGGTTGAATTCGAAATCATTGTTCCATTATGAGAGAAGTGCGTATTTGGTGTTTTGATCTTTCTTTGCTGAACTTTGTTTGATCTTGGATTTTTAGGGCAGCTTCCACACACTTGTCTTCAATGAATTGTTTGAATCACAATTATAATTAATATGTATTATTTTAAAGTGTTAATTTCTGTAGATTTTCTCTCATGCGGCTTATTAAAATCCAGAAAACCACAGGGGCCTAATTTGAAAGGCACTGGAGATGAGGACGTTTCGTTTGCCAGGGATGGGTAGTTTGGGGGCCTTCTGGTCCTCCTTGGAGGTCACTGAGGTCTCCCATGTCCGGCTCTCTCGTACAGTGGCACAGTGGCTGAGCTAGAAGAAACAGGAGCTTAAAAATCTACAACTCAGAAAAATAATAAAAGTTCCTCTCTTTCTAATATTTTGTTCTATTTTCTTAATATTGAAAATCAAACAGAGCATATTACATACATTCATTATATATTACCCTCACTGACCAAACATGTATCCCCATATTTTAGGGAATAATCAAACGGAAACCACATTGTTGACCAAAAACAAAAACAAAAAGATGAAAACCACATTGACCAACAAAAAAAGGGAAACCACGGGCTTTGGAGATTGCTTGTATAAAAAGCACTTATCTTCCAAGTCGCTTGTTGCAGTCGGTAACATATCAAATCAAATCCATTAATTCTGTCAGTTTTAAATTATAAATAAATAAAAAACTAAAAAAGGTAATTTTGTTTTGGACTACGTTTTTGTTCTGGTTCCTTAGACGGTGACGGCAAATCCAGCGCAGCATCACACCTTCCTCGCATCACCGACCTCTACCCAGCCACCTTATCCCAGCCAACCACCACCGCCACCACAGCAGCCCAGTCACAAAATTCAAAAGACTTCTCAACCCAACCAAATTCAAAGAGAAAAAACCCAAATATAATTAACCCCAAACATTTAAAAAAAATTCATGTAATTGAATGTTTCTATCTACTGGACCAGACAAGTGGTTGAGGGGGAAGGATGAAGGTGGGTTGTGATGCGGAGGGGGAAGGTGGGCATCATCTAAGTCTGTATCAAATTCTAGGTTTTATCGAATTCCATTGGAATAGGCATACAAGATGGAGATAGATCGAGTTGGGAATCTCAGATTGAGTCAAAGAGCACAAACCAGGCGTTGGCGTCGTCGTCGAAGAACAGCGCGTGGCGACCGACCACCTCTACATCCATTTCTTTACGACCTTCAAATTGGAGCGGAATTGATACAGAGCAGAGAAATTCTGGGTTTATTTTTTGTGGACGAGTGCTGGTTATTTATGTATTTATTTTATTTTTTAAACTTTATTGATTACTCGGATTTGACCTGATTGGCTCACGACTGCAACTTAACAAAATTCGGAAAATTAAAATTTTGGTGACCAAATTTAAATTCGGGCCTAACACCAATGACCAAAAATGTAATTACTCCTTTTTTAATAATAAAAAGTCAATTCTTTTATGACCCACTAGCCAATTGCTTTGTATTTTTTTTTTTATAACTTTTTTTATATTAGTAATTCAATTTAAATTTAAAGAAAGAAATGCCTCTCTAATTGTGTCTCATGAAAATAGGACTATTTTCTCATTTTTATTTTTATTTTTATTTATTTTTTAAAATAAGTGTTGTTAATTTACTATATTACTCTCATTTAGTGAATATGTTAATTTCTTAATCATTTCTTTAACTAAGGGCCTTTTTAAAAAAAAAAAAAGTATTTTGAATGTTGGATCCTGAGCTTCTACATTTAGGTCACGTGCATTTACCCATATTTTGTTAAATTTAAGCCACATAAGCAATCTAACCATTTAACGCACAACACATCATCAATTTTTAAGTGAAGTTTTTTTGTTTTTTTTGTTTTTTGTTTTTTGTTTTTGGTTGCAAACCTAACACCATTGATTTTTATGCATCAAATTTTAAATAAATATAAATCCTCGTTGGGCCGGGTTTTCATTGGGCCCCTGACCCTAATAGGGGAAGATTTTGGAAAAAATCGAGAGCAAGTACGGAGATCCCCGAATTTTATAAATCTCCAATCGGAAAAAGGCTAGAGATGGTATTGTTATCCCCATCCCCAAACCTGCCTGATGAGTAATATATTTACTTTTAAGTATAGTTTTAAATGTAATATAACAAGGCATGATCATAATATAATATATATTTAATTTTGTCAAATTGAATTAAGATTATTTTGATTCAATGAATTGAATTTTATAATTTAACTTAATGTAATTGAGTTTAATATAATTTAAGGTGAAAAAAAGTGTAATAATATAAGATATATTTTTTTTAAATGATAAAAGATCATAAATTCGAGGTGGGTTTGGGAAGTAGCCCTTCGATAGGGATGGGATTCCCCAAAAACTCTTATATGGAATGGGGACAGAGATGGGAATGGTATTGTCATATCCGGTCTGTTGCCACCCCTATTTACACATGGCATAATAAAATACAATGCATCAATAGTAGCAAGAATTAATGGTGCAGTAGATTTATACAACACAAGTAAAATCTTTTCAAAATGAGGAATGGTGCTACTTATATTGAAAAGTGTAAGCTCCATTAATTAGTTGTATAACACTTTAGCAGTATGTGTGTGAGAAAATTCCCTCATTTTCACTAATTTTGGAAAAAAGATATGAGTTTGCCAATGAAGTTTAGCTCAGTGGAAAAAAAATTGACTTACAAACTAATGGTCTCATGTTCAAGCCCCATGGCACCATGAAACCTTGACAGTGTGTGTGTGTGAGAAAACTGCCCTCCCCTATATCTTTTTTTATAATTTAAAAAAAGAAGAGTTTTGGACTACGTACACATAAAACTCAGCTTTCAAAGTGGGGGACCACATGCTTACAACTGCAGGTGGGCTGTCTTGGTAGGTCCAGTCAAGTTTTCAGTCTGACTCGAATACTATCACCTAGCTCTATTCATAATCCAGAATTTTGGCCCGTTTTTATACATGCGTTGGGGCAGGATTTTGAATCCAAAACTCAAACTACCGGTTTGGGTAAGCAGTGTTGGACATGGTCCAAGAGGATAAAAATCCAATCTAATTTATTTCAAAACAACCATTATTAGTCTATTTTAATTCAACCTGGTGCATATTCTTTCCTTTTTTGTTGTTGTAAAAGTTAGGAAAGGGAAAGGGGGAAACTCACACACACACACACACACACACACATACATGTACTAATGGGACTTGAACTCATGACCCCTTGTGAGTATGGCAATCCAATTAACACCTCATTGATAACCTATTACGCACTCAAAATAGGAGAAGATACGAGGGACATAATGCCACAAGGATTACATTTAAAAAAAAAACAAACAAACAAACAAAGATATTATTTCTATATGACAATATTCAAATCTACATAGTAAACAAATGTGAGTGAGAGACTAGAATATGAGTGAATCTAAGCCAAACAGATTTAACAAACTGCAATTTTCAATTCCTAATTACGAGGGAAAGTGCCTGGCAAGTATCAAGTCAGTCTGTTTAACCTTTTTGTTTGTTTGGTGGTTTATTTATTTATTATTTCTAGATTGTTTAAAACTAGTGCTCAGAACACTTTGCTTAGGTCCTCAATTTACTAATCGTTCCTTGCGTAGGTCCTCAACCACCTACTCTTTGTCTTTAAGTAATTAACAATTCTTAATCCATTTGAATTCGGACATAAAAAAGGATTAAACAATGACTGCATTAGCTATCATGCACCCGTCCTGCCTAATTCAAATTGTTAAATGCAAATTGCAATATATAAGTCATGTATGTGTGAATGGGATTAATATTTCCTCAATTATTATTATATATAAGTCAACATTACAGTCGATCATCGCCTTCTGGCTAATAGCTTGAGAAACACAGATACTGTGCCTGTGCGTCTTCTTCGAGTGTTTACTTGTTGCGTACGTACTGAAGGAAAGATGGCAGTAGAATCACTACTCACTTTTGCTGCTGAAGGAATACTGAAGAAGGTAGCTTTGCTTGCCGCTCAAGAATTCATGCTGGCATGGGGATTTAAAGGAGAGCTAAAAAAGCTCGGTCAATCGCTATCTGTCCTTCAAGATTTCTTAGGTGGTGCGGCTGAGCAAGCACGAGATCGGGGCAAGGCAGTGGAAGATTGGGTGGAGAAACTTAAAGACATAGCTCATGATGCTGATAACGTCTTGGATGAAATCAACTATGAAATTCTCCGGAGTCAAGTGGAACTGCAAAACCATATGAAGAAAAAGGTACTCAACTTCCTTTCTTCCTCAAATGCCACTTTGTTTCGCCAAAAAATGGCCCATAAAATTAAAAAAATCAATGCATCTCTGGCGGATCTCAAGAGCGAGGCATCGTTCATTGGATTGGTTGCAAAGAAAATTGATCCAGTTGCCCAAGGCATGGGGAGCAGGGAAACTGTCTCAAGCTTTGATGACGATGAAAGTATCTTTGGAAGGGAGGAGGTTGTGTCAGATATAGTAAAGACCTTGATCAGCTCCAATAATCAACAAAAGCTTTCGGTTGCGGCAATTGTGGGAATGGCAGGCTTAGGAAAGACAACTTTGGCTAAGTCAGTGTACAACGACGATGCTATAGACAAGTCATTTGACAAAAGAATATGGGTTTGTGTCTCTAACACCTTTGAAGTGAATTTGATTTTAGGCCGGATCTTAGAACTACTTAATTCAGCAAAGACCGGAATTCAAAGTCAGGAGGCATTGCTTAAAAACCTCAAAGAAGAGTTGACAGGAAAGCGATATATGCTTATACTCGATGATGTTTGGAACGAAGATGATATAAAATGGAACATCTTGATGAGTTGCTTGTCGAAACTCAATTCTGCTCAGGGAAGCACCATAATTGTCACTACCCGCAGTGCCAACGTTGCATCAATCATAGAAACACTTCCTAGATATGATTTGAAAAATCTATCAACAGAGGACTGTTGGTCCATCTTGAAGCATAGAGCTTTTCCGAATGGTAGTACTCCAATAGCTCCAGATCTGGAGAGAATTGGAAAAGTGATTGCTGAAAAATGTGCTGGCATACCATTAGTGGCAAAGGTATGCATTTCAATATGATAGTAGCTCTTGTTTTCTTTGCATTTTTTTGACCGCGGATAGAGGAAAAGCTTTTGGGGTTCTTATTTTTAACTTGTTTTGAATTAATTAATGTTATTTTTTATTTTTTAAATTAGAATAAAATAATTTTAAAATTTAAATTAAAATTAAATTTTTTTTTTCCACATTGTGCAAATTGCTAATCCATAATATAAAAATAAAATAAAATTTGAGGCTCGCATTTGTCATATCATCAATTGACGGTGAAATTAACGAATTATGAAAACGAAGAGGGATACTATAATACTGATTGAAAAAATACGCTTGGATCTGATGTACTTTTTAACGGTATCAAATCACCAAAATCTACAAACTTGGAAGGTTGAAGTACATAACCATACATAATTTGTTAAACATCTATACAAGTGATCAAACGAAAGTTGAACTACTCATTGCATATATATTTTTTAAACATTACTAATTAACCTTTTTAATATTTAAGATGTATATATAATGTCTAACTTATTATATAAACAGGTTTTGGGAGGCATGATGCATTCTAAAAACAGTACAGATGAATGGTTGTCAATTCAAGAAAGTAAAATATGGGAATTACCACAAGGAGAGGATAGAATTATCTCAGCTTTGAAGTTGAGTTTTGATGCTTTGAAATCCCCATCTCTGAAACAATGTTTTGCATATTGCTCAATATTCATGAAAGATGTGGAAATTGAAAGGGATGACTTGATCCAACTTTGGATGGCTCAAGGATTGCTCCACTCTTCAAGTTCTTTAGAGATGGAGGACATAGGTAATGAATATTTTTATATTCTATTGGAGAACTCCTTTTTTCAAGATGTTGTAAAGGATGACTGGGGCATTATTACCAAATGCAAGATGCATGATCTTGTGCATGATCTTTCTGAACTAGTGTCAAGATATGATGAGGAAGATAAGCTTGACGTTGGACAGGCACAATTTCCTTCTTTAATACCGAAAAAAATTTCAGAAAGAAATGCTGGGAAATTGCGATCCTTGTTTGTGAATGGTGAAGCCCTTGGTAACATCTTGGCAAGCTTTAAGTCTTTACGTGTCTTGAAACTATACAGGTCTGATATTGAGGGGTTGCCTATTTCAATTGGTGAGCTAAAACACTTGAGATATCTAGACGTTTCTGAAACACACATCAAAGAGCTCCCCAAATCTATTGGTAGGCTCTACAACCTACAGACACTAAGAATGCCTAGTTCAAGCAGTCTTCAAACGTTTCCGAAGGAGCTACAAAATTTGATCAACTTGAGGCATGTTTATTTCAATGAGTATATAGAAGTTCCATTTGGGATAAGAAGATTGACCCATCTGCAAACACTACCTTCCTTTACTCTGGATGGGACAAGAAGTCATGGAATTGACGAGCTGGGTGGCTTGAACAAATTGAAAGGCGAGCTGATTATTAGATCTTTGGAATATGTGAGGGGCAAAGACGAAGCGAAAGAATCAAATTTAGCTGGGAAGACAAACATACAAAGCTTGAGACTTGAATGGGGCAATTCCAGGGAAAGAAATGATGATGACAAGGAAGTACTAGACGGCCTCGAACCACACCCTAAGTTAGAAAGCTTATATATCAGCAGTTTCTTGGGTTCTAAATTTGCGTCATGGATGATGAGTGGATTGCCAGGAAATTTGAAAAAGATTGTTCTGTCCAATTGCAGAGAATGTGAAGTAGTCCCAACACTTGGCCATTTACCAAATCTTAGACATGTTGACTTTTACTTTATGGATAAGCTTAAATGTCTAGGAGATGAGTTTTATGGTTATAACCAAACCAGGCCAGCTTTTTTCCCAGCATTGAAAACCTTACGATTTAGTTCTTGCCACGCTTTAATTGAATGGAAGGAAGCAACTGTGATGTCAACAGTGGCGGTATTTCCCTGCCTGGAGGAGTTGAGTCTCAGTTCTTTGATGCAATTGAAAAACGCTCCCAGTCATTTTCCATCTCTCCAGAAGTTGCACATACATGTTCTTGACAATGTCATGCCAATTGAAAACATATGCAGCCAACTAACCACTCTCACTTCCCTCTATATGCAAGGGATTAAGGAGCTTACTTCTCTGCCAGTAGGGATGGTGGAAAAGAACCAGAATCTTCGGTCACTGATTATCGGCCATTTTGAAAACCTGAGGCACTTACCTGATGGGCTGCTACATAAACTTCCTCTTCTTGATGAGTTGTTTATATCAAGTTGCCCTAATCTGGAGCTCATTCCAATTACAGAAGGCTTACCATGTCTCCGGGAACTCAAAATTAAGGATTGTAAGAAACTATCAAGCTTGCCAAGTGGGTTAAAATATTGCACCTCTCTTCAGATGTTGAGTATAAGTCGTTGCCCCAATCTCACATCAATTCCAATTCCACAAGTCCTCCCACCATCCCTCATTCAGTTGGAATTTGAATTTTGTGGTGTATTAACAAGCTTAGCAGGTGGTCTTGAATGTCTTACCACCCTTCAGCAGTTCAGTATTGCTTATTGCCCTAAGCTAACATCCATTTCAATTCACAGTCTCACCTCCCTCCGCAAATTGTTTATTTATGATTATGGACCGGAATCCATCAGTAGTTCTCTGGAGGAGTTGTCTTTACTTGGTTGCACATCCCTCCGTGAAGTGAACATTCGAAATTGCAAGGGGTTCTCAAGTATATTGAGTGGACTAAAATCTTGTACTTCTCTTCGTTCACTGTGTGTTGATACTTGTCCAAACTTGATGCATTTACCGATTGATGGGCTGCAAACCCTCGTCTCTCTTGAGGAGCTGAGAATATGTTATTGCCCTAATCTAGAGGCTGTTCCCAATTTGGACTACCTGACATCCCTCCGTGAGTTGCATATTTATAGCTGCAGAGGATTGACAAGTATACCAAGTGGGCTAGCCTCCTGCACATCTCTTACCAATTTGTCAATCGACTCATGCCCCAACTTGGTATCTATAGCAGAGGATGTATCCAGGCTGCAATCCCTAACTCGTTTATCAATATATGACTGTGGGAAGTTACAATGTTTGCCGACTGGCCTACAGTTTCTGACCCGTTTGGAACATCTGACAATTGGTAAGTTCTCGGAGGAGCTTGATTCTTTCCCTGATTTTGAGGCTCCATCACATGTTGAAGAATTAAGGTTGTGGGGATGGCCAAAGCTCAAGTCTCTGCCTCAACAAATTCAACACTTCACTTCTCTAACATCTTTGTCTATAATATCTTTTAACCAAGTGGAGGCTTTGCCAGAGTGGTTGGGTAACCTTACATCCCTTACCTTCTTGGGTATTCAGAGGTGCGAGTATCTGATGTATCTACCTCCGGTCAAAGCTATGCAACGCCTTGACAAATTACAAGAGCTAGTGGTTGATGGATGTACCCGTTTAGAGGAAAGATGTGCAAAAAAGGTTGGCCTAGAATGGCCCAAGATTTCTCATGTTCCAAACGTCACAGGTAATTTCTTCTCAAATCATTTGTCAAATATTTGTTCACTTTCTCTCACTTTTATTTTTCTTTTCTTCAGTACTGACCCAACCTGTTTTTGAATAGTTTACTGATGGATTAATAAGCTTGGGGGAAGGGGAAGTACATGTCCAAAGAGTTGCTTCAAGTTTCACATTGAAGTGCAATGTAAGCTTTACAAGTTTCTTTTTTTATTTCTCTTCTTACGTATGTTTCTCTTTGATCATATTTAACCAGTTTCCCTGATGTGATTTATTATTACTACATAAAGTGTAGACTCTCAGGAGGCTCTTACTACAGTAGAAGAATAAGTGATGTGTGATAATTTTGATATGGTTGTATGCCCTTCAGGTACTTACTTCTGTTCCCTTTCCACTGCATATGAGATTACTTATGTTTAACTTATATGTAAATTCATGTAGGTTTGACTTGTATGTATATTCACATGTTTAGCTTCAATTATTATCATTTTGTTCATGATTTGTCTCTTCTCTCCTGTCACATTTTTATTTAATTAATTAAGTTATTGGCTGTTAACATCTTTCTCAACTCAACAGTTACTTTGGTTTGCAATATCAAAGACTTCCTAGCATCATGGAAGAACAAAATTAATTGCTTTAAACTCAATATTTTGCTATCACAATGTTTTTGGAGTAACAATTTCGACTTTAGAGGAAAATTATGTGTGCTAACAAGTTTGGAAGACAAATTACTAGATACAAATCAGGGGACAATAATTCAGCTCTTGCATGATTTCGTGCCAACTTTTCGTATCCTCAAACAGAGCTTTTGAGTCCTTAATTTTACATTATTAGTTTGGGTTTTGTGGCAGTCTAAACATATATAATTCTCACATTAATCATGATTTTGGATTAGACAATTCAGCTCACTTTTGACTTCCTGCAGGCTCTTTTTTCCCTTTGATACTATATTTTATTGTTTTGGGTGTCTTCCTTTCCAAGCAAAGAGGAATATAAGTCGACTCCTTTTCCTTAGAATTGTATGACATGACATGTGTGTGTTCTAATTCCATGAATGATCCAGATAGACCCATTTTCTTCTTTCAAGTTATTTTTCAATCATTATTCAGATAAAAGTTAGCTAAATTAGAAGTTGTTTAGCCATTTGATTCTTGTCATTTTCGTTTCAGTTTTGTCAAACAAGTTACAGTTTGTGTGTGCATATTTGAGATAATCAATCAATAGAAACACTATAACATGAATTTTGGAGAAGAAGAAAAAAACCCATAGTTAGTCAGCTATCCCTTCTTGATATTTAATTGATGTGTGAAATTGTGAAATTTAGTCCTTAGTTTCACAAAATGGCTTTGTTTTTTTGTTGCTGTTGTTTTTATGAGTCCATGGTGTCCCTGCAACATCTGTAATCCTTTGTTTCACAATGCAGGGTTTCAGCTATGTATATGGAATATCAGTTGTTGATACGTGTAGTTTAAGCAAATCACTATTTCAGGAAGTTGTTGATCTATTTTCATTTTTCTTGTTTATGCAATTAAGGTCATGGACTCTTGCATGGTTGCATATCCCACAGAACAAAGGTCTTATTTGATAGCATGTCATTTACCTATGCTATTTCAAGAATCAGGTAAATGAATCTCCAGTTATAAGCTTTTTACCTTCATTTTAAAAATCGAAGGTAATTTTGAACATTTCTTGCTAAGTTTGTCTCGGTGTTATATTGACTGTGCAGACTCGAGATTGAAGAAGAAACTCATGCAGGCGATGTGCCTGTGATCTAGAACTTAGTGTTTGGACAAAATGGTAAGCTACTATCCCTTAAGTTTGTTTTCTTGACACTCATTAGCAGATCGAGTTATATTCTTATGAGTTTTGCATCACAAGGTCAACTTGTTGTGGAGCAGTTTAATTAGGAAAAATGATTTCCATCAACTTCCAGATGTGCAGCTTAATTAAGACAAGCATTCTGGTGGAGAACACTTTTCCTAGCTAGTCAACCCCTGCATTCTGTCTCTTATAAAAAGAGATAGTTTTAAGTCCTTTTTGAGATTGCAAGCCTGGCCACAATTTAGAGAGATCAAGTGAGTTTTGGATGTATTTGGGGTTCTCTTGGGAGAAATGCCATGAAAGAAGAGAGATTAATTTAGTTTGGTTGCAAGAATCTACTTGTTATTTTTTGTCATGTTCTGGTGCACTTTTGATTTAGTGAATTATTATTTGCATCGCCCATGGATGTAGCCCAATTATTTACATCAAATATGGTGCTTTCTCTATTTATGCTTCAGTTCATCGTTCTCTTCCTATTAATACTTTTCCTGTGTTTGGTTTGTAGTCTAGGACTAGAGAGTTAAATGTGGCAAATTTCTTACTCTGCTTCGCTTTGACACATCAAATGCGTAGTTGCATTGGTGTGTTTTCAAAATCACAGAGGTGATTTACAATGATGCCCCATTAAATGGCTCCCAAAAATTACTCACATCGATTTCCTTCCAGGTCCAAAACTATCAAATAGCTCATCATGTATATAGTGCTGTTAGTCTCCATTTGATTGCATTGGAGGTAAATTTGAAAACCTTTCTTGTAATAGCAGAGGTACCTTGTTAGAGGAGTTATTCATGTTCGTTGATCTTCGTTCCCCATCGGTTTGCACATTGCGTTATTAATCAATTGATTGCTTGGATATACTAAAAAACACAAGAGTGAACAAAATAGGTCCCTCATCTCAATAGAAAAAAATTTGGGAGTTGCTATTGAGGAACAATGGAAGAGAACATACAAGTACAGAGAGAGTTCAGGAGAAAGTTGCATTGGGTTGCGAACCGAGTCGTTGAATTTCCTTACTTTGGTCTATTTGTAGCCCAAGTTATAAACATGACCTTAGAGGGTTGTGTGGAAAACATAACGATGGTGATGTGCATTGCTTGGGGAGCAGAATCGTTGTTGTTGATTTCTGAAACTAACTCTCAATAAGCCTTGCTTTGCTTGTTCGTTACAATTCCTCAGTATTCTGATTTTCAAAAATCTTCCAATCCTAGTTTTGAAAAAAGAAAAGGCCAAAGCTCCTTACTATGTATTCTCTTATTCATTTGATTGAGGAATCTGATTTTCTCCTGTAAAAGTCGAAACATCTGTGGGATTGAGGCTATCCTTTTCTTCACAGCTTGATACTGATCTCTGTCTTGTTAAAGCTGACATTCTTAACCTTCTAAATAAGTAATCTTTAAGTAGGGTGTTCTTTAGGGAAAACTAATTTCCTCCTGCGTCTATAAATTCGTTCATAACAGAGACAACAAACTATATGAGTCTTTAAACCTTGGTCGGTTTTCCTTAATTTTGAGCATTCTGCTCTTTACTTGTCTTGAGCGTACATACCAAGGGGTGAACTTATGGCAGCTAAGTTTGTGGTTACTTTTGCTGCCCAGGGAGTACTGACCAAGGTCGCTGCACTGGCCACTGAGCAATTCAGTCTTGCTTGGGGATTCAAAGGAGAACTGGCCAGGCTCAGGGATTCATTATCCCTCATGCAAAACATCTTATGTGATGCTGCGGAGCAACCAACAGATCGAGGCCACACCGTCAAAGCCTGGGTGAAGAAACTTAAAGACATAGTACAAGATGCTGATGAAGTGTTGGATGAATTCCAGTATGAAGTTCTTCGAAGTAAACTGGAGCTATCATCATTTCATCGATTGGTATAATTTGCCTACTTTCGGAATGCTTTTACTCGAATCAGAAGAACAAGTGCTGAGAAACATTAGGTGAAAACTATTTCCATCCAGGTACTTCTGTTTCCCATTCGCTAAAAATCATTTTCATATTGAATTGTCCAAAGCTCTTTCCTTTTCTTCCGTTTTTGTCTTCTTCTTTTGCCATTTTTGTTTTCATTCTTCTTTATCAGCAGTTAAGTGTTTCATATACCAGTTAAGTGTTTCATATATTTTCAAAGCTTCTTGTGGAAACACACAGTAATGTCTCTTCAGAATTTGATGATACTCTTTTGCAGATTTGGGAGTAGCATCCATTTGAAGTGTGTAAACTGTCCCGAGAAGTTGTTTATAAAAATTTGATGAACTGGAGGGTTTACTGGAGTGATGAGGGAACCTTGAAGCTTTCAGTGAACTATCCATATGTGAGAATCTTAAGAATCTACCAGCAGTGGAAGCTCTGAAAATTTCCCCAAAATGAAAAGATGCACCGAGGAGAGCCAGAGTCATGTGTACGTTTCTTTCTCAAATCGGAATTTATGATTTGAATTCTTGTCCTCTCTCACTTTCATTTATCGTTAATTAACTTATTGGCCATTAAGTTTGTTGTCTACTGCAACACAAAGAAGAAGAAGAAGAAGATATTCAACTCATCAGTAGTTTGTTTGGTTTTAATCGCTTCGTAGAAGGAACAACACTTGAGATTGTTGAGGAAAATTAGGTTTGTTAGTCTGGAAGACAAAGTAATACGTAGAAAACAGGCAAGACCAGTTCAACTCTTGCATGATTTTGTTCCAAACTTTGGGATCTGCAAACAGAAGCTTTTAGTCCTTAATTTCACAAAATGGCCTTGTTTTTGTTGCTGGTGTTTATGTGGTAATGGTGTCATTGCAACATCTGTGATCCTCTGTTTCATATTTTAATTTTTCTCTCTTTTCCAGCCAATGGTTTTTCTCATAATGCAGATTTCAGCTATACATATGGCATAATGCAGGTTTACACTAAAATAATAATCATGATACATGTAGTTAAGCAAATCACTATTTCTGGAAGGTATTGATTTATTTTCCTTTTTCCCACTTCTACAGTTAAGGTCCTCTGTTATTTGATAGCATGTCATTTTTACTTGTGCTTTTGTAAGAATCAGTGAAAGGAGTCTTCAGTTATAAGCTGTTTACCATCATTTTAAGGTTGAAGGTAATTTTGAACATTTCTTGCTAAGTTTATCTTGGTGTTATATTGACCAGGCAGAGTCGAGATTGAAGAAGAAACTCATGCATGCGATGTGCTTGTGATCTAGAACTTATTGTTTTGGACAATATGGTAAGCTACTATCCCTTTAGTTTGTTTTCTTTGACTCGTAATATAAATAGAGTTATATTCTTATTTATGAGATAACCTACACACAATCATGTCTCTTCAGGATTTGATGATACTATTTTCACTACTACAAAAAAGGAAAAACACGACGGGAATTCACCGTCGTGTATTCTGTTTTCAAATGGTCGTGGAATCCACCGACATCTTTTCCATAACCAAACCACGACGGTGAATAACCGTCGTTGTTAAAACAAAAAACGTCATCAAAAAATAAAAACCGACGTCTTTGTGCTGCAAAAGACATAAAAAAACAGTCGAGGATGAGAATAGACGACCAACTCCAACAAAAAAAACGTCGTTAAAAAGGAAACAGATGACAAGTATAAATACGACGTCTTTACAATCATAATAGACGACGTTATTGACACCTACTACGTCACAACATTTCCCACAACCGTCGTAAAATAAATTTTCCACTTCGATTTTTCTATGAATTATGACGTGGAAATAGATGTCAGGGTCATTAATTACGACGCATGTATTTACAGAGACGACGTTGAATTTGATAAATAACGTCGGTTCCAAATAAATGAGAGCCGTATTACAGAATTTATACGTCATATTTTAAAAATAACCGACGTGAAAAAAGATGGTGTCATTAATTATGACACAGTAATTTACAATGACGACGTTGTAGTCTATATACAAGGTCGTTACCATTAAAAAGACCGTCGTCTTTAATAATTTATACGTCTTCATTTAAAAAATTGACGTCGTCTAATTCATATATCTTAACGTCGACAAGTTTAATGGACTTCAAATACCGTCGTAAAAT